GTGATGTATCATCTCTTTTACTTAAGGCAACACTATGTGTAACTAACCAAGCAACAGCGCCCCCTGCAGCCACACAAGGTGATTCATTCTATTTTCCTAGTACCCAAAAAGTTTGATTCCAAAACAAGACTGAAAATCTTGGTGGTGGAGTTTGTGGTTGTGGTGTTCGGCCTTGTTCGAGTACCTGGAGTCCAAGTGGAGGACTCAGAGGTCTCTGGGTCCCAGTCCGGGAATCGCCGGCCTCGAGATGAGAGGACAAGGTTGTGAGCCAAGGATTTTAGTTTCCAAACTCTAAAAAGTAAAAGACAGCTGTCAACAAGGTGCCCTCGAACAAACCCGCAGAACGTCGCGGTGCTGTAACTTTTCACATTTCTACACTTTCGACTGAGAAGAACTGAAATATAGGACAAAGAATTTAAAAAGTAACCAGGAGACGTAAAAAGGAATGGAAGCAGAGAAAAGGATCAAATGGAAGGTGAGAAAGGAGGAGTGAGACAGTGCAGGAAGGAAGAAAAGACGGAGAGAGAGAGAGAGAGAGAGAGAGGGAGGAGGGTGCAGACGACAAAGTTTGTGTAGCTGTAGGCGGTGTTAGCAGCAGCAGAGGGAATATGTGTGTGGGTGCAAATTGTCGACAGGAATTCATTAGGCTCGTCGTGCGATAACGAGTGCTTGTGGTTTTAATTGACTTAATCAACAAATAGAATTAATCAGAGATTTCTAATTAACGGTAATTGATTGAAATATCCACTGGGTCACCGTGCAAGCCCAAAATCTCTCTCTCTCTCTCTCCACTTGTGTCTCTTTATTTTACTTTACAGTTTGTCCTTGTCTTCTTCTCGCTGTTCTTTTTATTTCTCTCTCTTTTACTCCTCTTCACGTCGTTCTCTCTTTCATTTCTTTCTCTTATTTTCCTCATTACCTAATGTTCCTTCCTTGTCTCGGCCAGTTCCTGTCTCTCTCTTCCTCTTTCCTCTGTCTTCCTTTCTTTCCTTTCTTCGCAGGTGGCATCAAATGTCTTGTTTATTTTCCTGCAGCTCGTCAGAAGCTGATCGTATCGACACTAAAATCAGAAAATGTTTGCGTCACTCATTTCAGAAGCTTTATTGTCATGAACATCTCTGACTCACTGTAGCAGCCACACTAACAACCTCCACTCTCCTCTACCCCCCCCCCCCTCATCGCTCCCTCTTCACGGCAGGTCTTGGTAATTAGATTGTGGAGATGAGGAGGTGGAGGAGAGTTAAGAGGATTTTGTTTTTAGGAGAGGGAGACTTAAGAATGAGAGCGATAGAGGAGGGAGAGAGAGAGAGAGATCTATCTTGAGAGAGACGAGAAGGACAAAGAGCGAGAGAGACAGGGTGAAGGAGGACTTAGAGAAAGACGAGTGCAGATCCTCCTCGTTTTTTGTTTATCCTGATTCGGTCAACGTTACTGCAGGAGGCTTGAGTGACAGGCAGTGGAGTACCTGAAGAGTGAGAGAGGGGAAAGAAACGTTGGGATAAAGACGTCGCACGTTCTTATTCTGTCGTTCCTGTCGGTCGACCTTGAACACGTAGAGCGCTGAACACGACGTTACTCCTTCAGAGCAGTCAGGGTTCTCATCAGGGATCTTAGAGAAATCTCGAACAACGTTCCCCATCGGGCTCAGCACGGTCGCCCAGGCGGCCTTCTTTCTAAAACATGAGGCCGACCTCAACAAGCTTCTCTCGACATGAAGGAGCAGCGCTCCTCCTCCTGCTCCGGTCTTTGTCTTTCAGGACTTTCGTTGTCAACGAAATTTCTGCACGATCAAATTTTTTGGTCCCTGAAGGTTTGAAGTGAATAAATCAAGAGCCCACAACTTCACCTGTCATCTCACACTTTCTCTTCCCTCAATAAACAAGACAAACAGACACAACCTGCACGGATCCCTTCAAACCAACTCTGAGGCATTTATCCGTTCTCTAACGAGGACTCAGCTGGAAGTGATCCTGTAAGAGATCTGTGTGAGCAACAAGATGAGAGTGTTTGTGTGGTTCAAACTTTCAACTGCAGTCATAAGACACTTGAACAGTCCTGCAGGATGTCATGAAAACTACCTGATTGATTTGTCCGTGACTCGATGGAAGGAGGAGACGTGTGTTCAGAGAGAACAAAGCATCGCATCGTCTGCAGAAAACACAAATTTGAGACGTTTCCACGCTGAGCAGCATTAAACGTTTCTCAGAGTCTCCATCTCTTTCCAGTTTCACATGAGAGTGAAGCAGCAGCTTCTCGCTGGGATCTTTTTCATTTCCTGTCTCTCTTCCGTCTTGTCTTTATTTCTCATCGGTGTCTCACTGTTTCTCTTTAAGTCTCTTTAATCTTCCATCTCTTGTCGTTCTCTGCGTTCTCAGTCCTGTTACTCTACCTCAACCTATCTCTCTCTTTTTGTCTGCCTCGTCCCTCCCTCTACGATCTCCGACTCTTTTTCTTTCTCTGCAGCCGCTCCACGACTTTCCATGTATTTTGGAAGGAAAGCTTTTTAGCAAATATTTGTCTGACTGTGTCTGTAGAGCCCTCTGAGTCAATATGGGCCCAGCCAGGCTCGACCGGCCAGAGAGGGAGAGGGAGAGGGAGAGGGGGAGAGGGAGAGAGGGAGAGAGAGGGATCAGTGCATAAAAACCAGCAGTGCAGAAACAATAGAGACTTAGGATTCTCTATTTCTCCTCTGTCTAAAAATAATCTTTAGGAGAAAAAACTCTTTTGCCAACTGAAGCTGTACAAACCTCAACATATAGATATTGATAAAAGTGATTGTTATCGGTATTTAAACTCTTCGGATCCATTGAAAAGTAGTTTTTAAAAAATGCTTTGCTTCGGCAGAGAAAGAAGAAAAAGAACAATTTCATTTTCTTGCAAAGATTTTTGACTCAACTCAGTGTTTGGATATTTCAGAACCTGGATTAACACGAGACAGAGAGAGAGACAGAAAAAACTGGACCTGATGAGAAACCATGAACTTTATGTGACGTTTCATTCCGTCATGTCTTCATACCGCCACCAGTGGTCCCAAACGTGCGTACGACCGCGCAGTTAGATCATTTGCAGCCTTGTTTCCTGATTGTTATGTCAAGTCTAAGTTATTAGGTCGATGAGATCTGGCCTCCTTAAATATCCAAAATCTGATCAGACTTGCATGTTGTGTGTTCGACCCAGAGTTTGCAGAGCAGACTTTACAGTTATCACCCTCATCCTCTGACTCTGATGTGTTGAATTATTTCTGCAGCTTCAATCTCGTTAAATTCATCTCCCCGTGCTGCCTCCACGCTGTCTGCTGCAGTTATTTGGCGCAGAGAGAGTATCACTCAGTCGTTTTGTTGTTGTTTAGAGCCTCCTCCTTCAATGTAATACACACCTCCTGTTTGGAATAAATTTATCTGCAACTCCACAAATGCATGCACGCACGCACGCACACACACACACACACACAGACACACACAAGGCTTGTCCTCTTGATCCTGTCTGCTGTATTCTGCATCCCCATCTCCTGTTTAGACAACAACACGCGCCACAAATATGCTAAACTGAAGAGAGCGAGAAAGAGGAGATGAAAGACAGAGGAAGAAGAGTTGAGTGAGTGTGAGGAGGACGCAGTGTGTGTGTGTGTGTGTGTGTGTGTGTGTGTGTGTGTGTNCAGTGTGTGTGTGTGTGTGTGTGTGTGTGTGTGTGTGTGTGTGTGTGTGTGTGTGTGTGTGTGTGAGGGAAAGAGAGAGAATCCCATTTCATTGTAATAGTGTTTAATATTTATTGGAAAAATGTAAAGAAAATGTAAAGGAAGTGCTTTTCAGCGAGCGGGCAGGATTAGCATAAATAGTTTGGGGCTTGGACGTGTTTGGTCCCTGCCGCAGACGAGTAAGGCCGTCCCCTGAATTCTCTGTGGCACACACACACACACACACACACACTTGTGCACATGCATGCATATGTAAACATTCAAACATGCAAACACACACACACTCGCTGACCTTTGCGTGTGGAAACTCATCAGCATATAGTGATTTATAATAGGCTCTGCCAATCCTTGTGTTTCTTTCTCTCTTTGTTGCATTTATTAGACGCGAGCAGAGAGGGAAGCAGACGGAGGAATATTGGCTGTTGTCATTTATTTTATGCTCTGTTACTGCTGATGAAGGATCCGTGAGCGGGATTTGACTTTATGCTAATATACAGGTTTTTACTGAGTGAATAAAGAAAAACAAACCCGGTCCTCGTTTGCTCTTGTTTAAATTAAACAGATGAGGGACGAATTAAAGCAAAAGAAACCACCGCGTGTTTGTAATGTGATGACATCAGGAGCATTGAAGATGCTGTTTCAGACCTCACCACACGTTGGAGGACCCCAAAGTCTAGAAACATCCTGAAGGACGACCAAGACCTAGACTAGAACCTCCTACTGCTAATGTAACGCTGAACTTCCTGGAAGACCTCTGGAACCAATAAACCTTCCACAGATACATAAGAACCTTCTCAATGACCAACAGAAGCTCTAAAAGATAACTAGAAACTTCCAGAGGACCTAGAAACTCCTAACATCATTCTGAACTTGCTAAAACCCAATAACCCCCCCCCCCAAAGTACACACATACCCTTCTCAGTGACCAGTAGAACCTCTCTGAAGACCCATAGAGACTCCTGTAGAACCTGTAGAACCTGTAGAACCTGTAGAACCTCCCCAGTAGTCTCTGTGTTGTCCTAACGTCTCACTGAAGTTTCTCTGCTTTGACCGTATGGACGTGACAGCTGCAAAAGTGAAGCCAGAGCATCTGTATCGCCTCCTGGTGGCCGGCTGCAGTTTCAGTAAAATGCCTCCTCAATGTTAGAAGATGAACAAAAAAAAGACCAGAAAACGCGTTAAATACATTTCGTCTAAAGTTTTTGTAGTTTCTAGCACAAACGTGTACCTGAGGTATTTTGCTGATTTTAAAATTGCTGATTTTTGCTGACCGTGCCTCTTCTCTTCTTCTACTTCCTCTCTTCAGTCTCTGTGTGCGGAGGTGCGAGCTCGACGCAGAGGAGTCTCCTCCGTTCTGAAACTTTGCCAGAAGCTGCTGCAGCAGAGTCAGGTGGGTAAAAACAAACAGCGACGCTTCACTTGAACAAACTACAGTGGAAATGTATTTTAATTTCAATTATTTTTTTCCTTATGAGAGGAAAATGATATTGATGACAATTCCAATAATTCAGAGATTAATCACATGATTAGTGTGATGACTGTAATTCTGATCAAACCTCCCTAATCTCCACATCGGGGACAGTCCGGCCCCATGGCGGAGGTGGGCCCCGAGGCGGAGCAGCACCGGGAGGCCCTGCAGCTGCTGTCAATCAACTTGGAGAGGAGGTGGGAGGCGATCGTGATGCAGGCGCTGCAGTGGCAGAACCGACTGAAGAGAGAGCAGCAGGTTAGAGCGTCTGACATTTACACTCTACATCCTTCACTCCACCCTGCAGGCAATCAGCTGACGCACTGTTACACTCAGTGAGCATGTCAGAGTTTGATTTGATGCTAAAATCCGCCGTGAAAGACAGATGGCGCCGTAATTGAAGCTGCACTGTTTCAGCCGTGGAACAATCTTTACAAGCTGAGACGCTGTGAAATGAGCATCAACTCTGGAACAAAACACAAACTCACACTCATCCAGTCACTTCTGATCTAGAGGAGATTACCGAACAAAAACAGGACCAGTTACCTGGTGCTTTACTGTGACTCTTACTGTTGCTATGGCGACGACATCCATGTCTGTGTGTTCACGAAAGCCAGCTGATAAACCACATCGAAACCAGATTGTTCTTTTGACACCAGTCGCACATTTAGAAGTTTTACCGTGGACTCGGCTCGTCTGGTTCCCAGGTGACGATCGTGTTCAGCAACAAGATATATATTTATAGTTAAGTAAAGATGGATGGTCATAAAACCTGCCTCCTCCATGTTAGCAGATGGGACAAACAAAAACATTCTGCAGTAGACGTTAAATCATTTTGTGGATGGTGGGAGGAAGTAGAGACACGCGGTTCATTGCAGTCATGGTTTGTCCTCTGGGGATTCTAAATTTAGTTCGTTTTTAATTAATTTTAAAAAATGGGCGTGTTCCTGGAAACACTGGGAATCTCTCAGGGACCACGATTCTCCGCAGGAGCTTCCATAGCAATCTGACGAGTTGTTATTCACTATCACCGGCACAGTGGACTGATCCACTCAGACTCACTGTCGTCACCTCCCTGATGTTCTGCTGCGACCTGAGCTGAAGTATCAGTGTCTGTTCTAAAAGAGGCTGAAGCTTCAAACGTCTTCTCTCAGTCCAGCAGCAGCCGGATGATAAAACTAATCTGTTCATCCTTCAGTGCGATCACTGTCACAGAAACAGTTTCCTCTGCCACCTCCTCTGCAAACAAAAGAAACTCGGCAAACCAGATTTGAACGCAGCTTGTACATCAGAAACTCACCGTGCGTCTCCTCAGAAAGGATTGTTTTAGAAATCTGCAGCCGTCGAACCCATTCAGGCTCCACGTCTGAGGTACGAGCCGCTCGCTGATCACAGCGACGGTCTCGGGTTGCGGGATGACAGCTCAGCACACGTGCAGCTCGTCTGCTGACGTGATGCGCCGAGTGCTGCGGGTGTTCAGAGAAATATCGCTCATGAGGGAGCCGTCCCGAGTCGAGATGCTCGGGGCAAACGAGGCGCAGAGAGCGAGCTGAGTGCTTTATTCATCTGAGGCAGCGTGGAGGCAGAGGGCTGCAGCCGAACAGGGCTGTTATGGATTTCTAATAGTGATGAATATGGTTCAATAGAGACAGACAGACGACTGCGTTTGGATACAAGGTGAAGGGCCTCACACACAGACACACAACACAAACGCTCGTGCACACAGAATCACACAACGTCACACACATTAACTGATGGATACTGATGTGTTAAAAGCCTGAGAGGACGTGGGAGGAAAGAGAGAGAGAGAGAGAGAAAGAGAGAGAGAGGGGGAGAGAGAGAGAGAGAAATACGATGTAAAAAACAATTTCCTTCAAAGTTAAAGCTACGACGTCTCCCGAGCTGCTTCTGGTCTGAGGTTCTGAGCTTCAAGCTAAAAACAGACTGAAGT